ATGCGAGCATACCTCGGTTCATTTATAACCTAAATGAGGCGGGGTAAGAACGTTATTCAATATGAAGAAAAACTGGGTTTCGAAGAATTCCTTAGTAATATATTGTGACATGACTTTCCATTTCGGATGAAAATTTGGGTGGAAGGAATTCATCATGTGGTCTCACAGGAAACCGAAGGAGGATCGTCGTGCACGGGGGACTGTTGAATTGTGCCAATAAGTCCCTGGTGCACCGTCCTGCGACCCCGATGAATCTGTGCCGAGGACTTCTTCGCAAAATGCAACAGTCTTCCCTATGCGGCAATCCTCCTTCGGTTTCCGGTGAGGCCACATCACGAATTCCTTCCGACAAAATTCTCCTTCGAAATGGAAAGTCATATCACAACATTATTCAATAGCCACCAGGCCACCACACTCCAGTGGAGCTAAATATTTCGGTGAACAAACATGGCACAAGTTAGTAATAGACAACAGGGATGAGAGAGATATGTTATCTAACTTCGGGAACAGTGATGCATTCGAGTTCATCCTCAACGTCTTCTTCTACAATATGCTTTTGTAAGGCTGCTCTTCGCTTCCATGTCTTGGGCGGATTGACGAATTCGCGAAGTTTCGAACCCAAAGGCACATGCTCTTGCTGCTTAGAAGCTTCGGTTAGAATGATTTCTGATGGTGGCTTTATTGATTGTATCTTTTCTTTCTCTTCGCAAGCCTCGAGCAATTTGGAGTCTTCGGTCGCCATGCTTTCTGAATAACCCTTCGGGGGCGCAAAAGCAAGGGCCACATCAGTGGGATTAGCGGTTGAAGCTGCGAGAGTCATCCCTTGACTCAAATTGGTCGGAGCCTTGCTTGTTGTTGACGTGTCTGGAGTAAAAATGATACTTGAGGCTGTGGATTCGGGGGCGGTCACTGAGCCACATTCAACCGTTTCTGAAAGCGATGCCAGGCCTGTTGTTTTCGTGGGTACATCTGGACTGGCTGTGAAGCGGCGCACGATATTGGAACGCATGCTCGATATCGGTAGACTACTATGAGGCTCTTTAATTGGTTTCCTGAATTTAAGGGTCTCATGAGAACTCTGACGGGCATGTTGATAGACTCGAGGCCTTGATACTGTCGTAGGGGGTGTAGCTGTACTTAAAGTTGCCCCCGTGATTTGATTCGTGTAGTTGGATTCTTCAGAGCCTAAACTTGTCTGAGTGATGGTGGTGAATGGTGGCTCAAGGTCTTGTTTCTGTAGGGCAAGGGGCTGAAGATTGAAATATTGTGGTTGCTGGGACTTTGCCGGCGCTGGGGGTGGTACATGAAGTCGGCGATCTTGTGAGTGGCCATGTATGATGCACTGGCCGGTGCACTCCTGGTCATGTGGGGTACTAGATGATGAGGGCTCAATGGGCGAAGGAGGGGTCAATACAGTAGATGCTGAGGATAAAGAATAGCTGGAGGAAGGTCGAGGAATCTGAAAGTAAAAGTGATATTAAACAATTTTATTTTCGCATCCTTAAATTTTAATTCTTAATAGGATTTTAATACTTTGAGAAGGTGCATATTTTAATAGATAAACATTGAAGACAGAGTTTGTATGTGCTAATCATCTAGATCGGCTTTGTATTTCCTCCTGAAGCATATAATAAAGGCATAACTAGCCTGTAGAATACTTTTTTGGTTCAAACGAAAATATATACTCCAGCGGCCTTCATGGTTCTATGGGCCATAGGATGAGCTAGATCGAGAAAGCGAGAAATAATGGGGGGGAAACAAAACGCAGCTCTAGCCATGATAAGAGAGGTAAATTATAATAGGTACTCTATTCAAACAAAATAAAAAGTTAATTTGGGCTACAAAGTATTTCCTTTCTTCTAAGACTTAATGTTAGCTAAAGATGGGTCTACCCAATATAACTTCACTTTTTTTTCGTTATTGAGTAGGTTTTCGAGACTACCAGCAAATCATATATATGATTTGTGTTCACTCTATTTCGTTTAATGTGATAAAGGACTGGTAGCAGAATTTTCCCACAATGATATGAGTAGAGCTGACGTTTTCATTGAAATTCACATAGCCCTGCTTTCTCATAAATTGTTTTCATCCAGGGTGGAGTGCGGTTTCGACCTCGAATAGGTCTTATCAACATCCCAAGTCGAATTCGAACCATGACAGTGCAGCATGTAAGCTCGACACGTTAACCACTATGCCACATTGCATGAGGGTCATTGGGCCACAGAG